CAATTATCATGGCTTCTTTCTCCTGCTCCTGCACTTTCTGGACTATTGACTTTACATCCAATATTGAAAACTTAATTAGAGCCAAAGACTTGACTTCTGGTGCTTCATCTCTTTGCCTACAACCAGGCATCATTGTCATCTTTAACGACAACCTCTTCATCAGCACTCTCCTAGACTAAGTACTTCAGGTGTGTCACTTCCTCATCAGCCGTCACTTCGGCTGAGCCATCAGATTTCCTCAGTATACTGAGTGGTGTCACTCCCTCAATATACAACTTGGCCTCTGCAAAGTCCGCGCAAGCTATGAAAGGTTGAGGATCTGCATCAATTTCCTCTGTCTCTCCATTGCCTAAGGCCATCATTATCTTCTGATACAAAGAGAAAGGCACACATTTGTTAGTGTGGATCCAATCTCTACCAAGTAAAGCATTGTACTTAGCATTACTGTCAATCACGAAGAGCGCCGTCATGCAGTCCCTAGTTCCCACACTTAGGTTGATTGGTAGAATTTCCTGAGCCATCTGTATGTCTCCAACGAAACCAGCAATGGTTGTACTGGTTGGGATTAACTTGGAATTCCTTTTCCCTAATTTCTTCAAGGAAGATTTCGATAGTAAGTTCACCGCTGCCCCATTATCCACCAAGACTTGGTTCAACTGTATCCCATTGAAGAAGGCCTTAATATACAAAGGCTTGACATGTTGTGTCATAGAATTTGAGGGATACTCAAAAGGATATGAGAGGTTAATACTCACCACTTCTTCACTCTCATATTCAGTTTCCATTGGGGTAACCATTCCAGAATTATCTTGCACCATACTTACTTGTGAGTCTTCGCTAGAGATTGGAATTGGGTCAATTTCTTGCCCCTCTGATCCTCATCTCCAGCTTGGAATTCATGCGGTAGTATGTGCACCATGTTCACTGACACTGAGCCAAATTGAATGGCTGGCTGTGTCTGTTTCTCCTTTTGGCCACCGTGTTCAGTAACTCCAGAAGCATTCTCCATGCTGCTCTCTGGCACTTTATCCTTCAAATGGTCTGTCACGACTGGTTTTTCAACCAGAAATGTTTGTTCTGCCATGAAGGCTTCGAACATTTCTTCCCTAACCATTCTTTCTTTTGGCCCAAGCCAGCTTCTTTCTCCATCTCGCTGTCACTCTCCATCAATGCCTTCTCCAATCCCGCTAAACTGGACTTCTCTCTGGCTTTTAGTTCAGAGTGAACTTTGGCAACTGTTCTCTGATGCAACCCATTTTGCCTTGTAGAGTTGGTTTTGGAGTATTGTCTGACTTTGGATTCTTCTTTCCTTCTGTCTGTACCAATGAAGAACTCTCTCCATTCTCTTTCAGGTCTCGCTGGTACTGAGTGTACCTACGTTGAATTTTTCTCTTTTGTGATCTAAAAATTACGGGGACCATATCTGGTTCCTTTGTTTTTGGGTGCTTAAGCAACACCTAATTGTTTGGAGCCACCAAAGGAGGCTTAACCATCCTGCCTTGGTTTCCAATTACATCTCTTTGGGTAAACATTTTCCTAGGTTTATTCTGAATCACAAACCAATCTGGGACCCCAGGTACCCACGAACCTACTGACCCTGCCGTTGAACTGCTTCTTTCCTCCTTCAAAGCCATCTTCGAAGCTAGCTGCGAAGGCCACTGCTTGGTCCTGACTTCATGCTTTGGGTCTAACTCAGGCTTTCAATGAAGATGTCCACTTTCTGTCTTGCATGAAGCTGGTCTAGGGGGCCAATCTCTGGCTTTGATCTCATAAACTGAACCTCTCTCCAATCTCCTCTCAGAATGACAGCTCTTCATTCTGTAATAATTAGGCGGCCTAGATTCATATAAGGGCCTCTTGCCTTTGGAATGCATCCTATCAGCTGTTGGTTCAACCCTCAATGGCTGATGCCTGACACCAGATGGATATGGCCTTTTATTGTAAGCATTGGTTGGTTTAGGACGTCTCTGCACATTCTTGTAGTATTGCTTCACATCAATTGGAAGTTCTTTCAACCACTTGTAGCATAGTCTGCACCTAGGACACATCCTCTGCATTACAACTGCTTCTAAGGAATCGTCATCCAGTGCTTCTTCCTCAGAGTTTTCGCTCTGGTGTGAGAAACCTTGTCCAATAGCTGGTAGATTTTCAATGTCTTTCTTGATAGTTGTCTGGTTGGCCACATGCATCTGCACATTGACTTCTTCCAATTCTTTCAAAGACAGGTTCTGAAAATCCAGCATAATGACATTGGCTGCCACCTCTCCAATTTTCTGGAAATGGATTACTGTCGATCCCCATGGCCTTTTCAGCTTTGGCTGGGAATTTTAAACTTCCTTTCCGAATTTGTTCTTGGATCCTATCTCGAAAAATAATACAACTCTTAGTCGAGTGAGACCAAGAATTATGCCATTTACAATATACTTTTCCTTTAAGTTCATCAAGAGATGGAATTTTAACCCCTTTTGGTAACTTAAGGAAGTTGGCCGCAAGCAAATGATCAAAAATGTCATCTGCCTTAGTTAAATCGAAAGAGTATTTCCTGTGAAGGTCTTTCTTTTTAAACTGCTGGTCAATTGTTGTATCCTTATGAATTAATGCTTCACAGATCATAGGTTCTTTCCTCACAATCTCTGCTGCATCAATCTCATAGTTAGGATCTTTGTAGTATGTCTTGTATGATGCATTATTTCAATCTTGTTCCTCTTCTAGTAATGCTTCATACCTAGATACCTTATAAGTCAGTTCCACTAAGTCCCTGAACTCTGTTGAGTCAAACTTCTTTCGAAGCCTAAACTCTAAGCCATTTTGAGCCAATCTTACGAATTCTGGCTCTGGCAAGATGACTCTACATTTATTTCGAGCCCTTTTAAATCTGGCAATAAACTGAGTACCCTTCTCTTCAGGCCTTTGACTCAACCTTGCCAGGTCTACCATGGAAACCTCTGGCTCCGATTGGAAGAATTGGGCATGAAATGTCTCTTCCATTTGTTGCCAAGTTTGGATTGAGCCAGGTGTAAGGTTAATGTACCACACAAATGCTCCCCCAGTTAGAAAGTTTGGGAACAGTCTCAACTTCATATAGTCATTATTAGTAAATTCACCGAATTGAGCAGCAAACCTAGCAATATGCTCCACTGTTAATTGGTTTCCATTTCCATAAAAAAGGGCGAAATCTGGTATCCTAAAACCTCTTGGGTATTCATGGACCTTATCTACCCATTCTGGGTATGGTTTTCTGTACACAGGAGTCTGGACCCCCCGAGCCATCGGTCCACACATCTCCCTAATGATGTCAGTAATTTGGTCCCTAGGGACCATATTTTGTGCCTGCCGAACCACTACTAGAGGAACAAACATAGGATTTGGTGGGTAAACTTGTGCCTGTGGTCCTCTTGGTCCATAAGGTGGTATATTTGGGACTGGTTGTCCCTGCGGTGCAGGTTGCTGTTGAGGGTGTGGGTAACCCCTTTGAGCCTATCCTGCGAAAGGACCTGCGAAAGGTGCTTGGACTGGTGTTGTGTCTCTTCCATTTGTAGGAAAACCTTCCAACCCCCTAGATATAAATTCGAATAAGGGATTAGTGAAACCCCTTGTGCCGGGTATGGCTTCGAACATGGGATTTGAAACCATTCTTATGTCATTTTCTTGTACTAGGCCAAATCCACCATATTACATGGCTCCACTATTAAGTACTAAGGTATTTTGACCTGCTATAGGCCTCGGAATAGGCTCGTACCAAGATTGAGGTGATGGTCTTTTACAGTTCTAATTACTAGTTTGACCATTAAAATGTCCATTAACTTGCATAGGCTGTTTATCTCTAGCCAATCTTTGCTGAGGGACATTCGAAACTTCCTCCATGTGTCTTACATTTGTTAATTGGTGGTTATTCATTCGATCCAAAAAGGATGTTGCCCACCTTTCCATTGTGTTCATTAATTACTGTCCCATTACATCTATTAAGCCACCCTATGGATTTATTAGCTGAGTAGATGGGACAGTGGATGGTCCAATTCCTTGGTCTGGTCCAACATTACGAACATGTTGTACTTGTTCTGAAGTACTGGTCTGTTCGACCATAGGTTCTGATAAAATGGGAATTTCCACAAGATGTGTTATCACATTATCCTCTGGATTAGGTATCTCTACCTCTCCTTCCACGCCTTCTTCCAAGCGTTCATTTTCTCCTTGTCTCCTACGTCTAGCCATTTCAATTAGTCCCACTGGGCGTGTCAAAAATATATGTTGATTTTTTGGCTTTCGAAGGTTATTATTGTAATTGCGAGCGTGCTAGCAAGGATCAATCAGTCCTTACAAAAATTTAATTGCCAACCAATTATCAAACGATTGTGTTTTAGTTCTCTCAGCCTCAATAAAGAGGACTTTTACTGGTGGCTTGATTTAGGAGAATTAAACAAAATATCAATCAAATAAAGAACAACTGAAGTATTTCATTAGAATGAAAAACTTACAATGATTCAAACTCAACCTCGTAGAGGTTTACAGCGACAATCTACTTGAAACTACTCCTATGAATGAAGTGCAATGCAGAATTTAAAGTACTGGAACGTAAAGAACAAGAATGTAAAGAACAGGAAATGTAAAACTAAGTAAAGTAGAATAAGACTGGTTTTTTGGATCTGAGTCTAGGTGTTTTTTCTGGGGCCTCTCTGCTATTTATACTGCTCAAGGATGACCATTGAACTGTATTTCCAACCGTCGAACTGCTCCTCCATGATCGCTGATCATGTTGCCTCAAGATTAACTCCGTTACGCCATCACTTGCAGTTAGGCTTCCCTCATAAATTTGAATTTAAATATGAGTAACCGTTGATGCCACATCACTTTATATCTCTTTGTTGATCCACTGTTACTCAGATCTCGTAACAACCAATACTAACTACCACGTGTACGATCAAAATTGAAGATTTGAAAGTCTTCTCGTACTAACCTTATTTTGTCACACGTCAAATTGTACCTAACTTGTAGCCAACACATGTTTTTGTTTGAAACCAGCAGCATGTGGTTCAAAACGCCTTTTCTCTTTCTCTCCCTCGCTCCCTCCTCTGCTTTTGATGTTCTCTACTTTCAATTGAATTCAATTCAACCTCTCTCTCTTGATTGATAATTGAAAGCAAAATATGTATATGTCCCACTGATTATAGAAAAGAGAAAAGGCATTCCCAAAGTTCTCTTTCTCTCTGAAAATGGCGACAGGAGGATCGATAGCGCTTTCGAGCTCTCTGTCGTCTTCATACTTGAGCCGTAAAATCAGCATCTCCACACTCCGAATGGTATTTGCAAAAACACTTATATTGGTGTCTATATAATACGTATGCATTTGTTTTGTGTGTGTGTAGGTATAGATATATCAGTTTTACTGTTGTAGTGCTTATTGGAATTGTTTAGGTTTCTTTGGGAACACTTGTTTGCTACTTGACCAAAAACGAAAAAAAAAACAAAAAAAATGATATAAACATTTATTGATCCTGAAATTCACATTGGGAAAATGGTGGTTTCTTGGGTTATTTTGGAGCTCTAATTGATTGAAATTGAACCCAGTTTTTGTACCTGAAAAGGGTAGAAGATTTCCAATTTTTATGTTACAGTACTGATTAGAAAACCCACAAAAAAAGAAGAAGTTATGTATGTGTAGGCAAGTAGTTCTAGAATTACTACCAAAATAGCATAATTTTTCTTTTTTTGAATATCGGATGTCTGGGCCAGTTTACGCGCACCTCAACTAATCTTGGAGCCTTAAAGTTAACGACCGGACAAACCTTCAATGACCCCAAGATTTGGGATGTTTGACCTTCATGAGATTTGAACCTGAGACCTCTTGGCTGGTAAGCCCATTGGTTGCTTTTTCCTCCCACTAAGCCTAACCCTTGGGGTTTACCAAAATAGCATAATTAAAGAGAGTATGCCAAAAGATTGTGAACTAGCTCTTCATGTGTTTGTGAAAAAGTTTCAATGAAAAGAAATTGAAGTTCACATTCCCAAGTGCTTCCATTTTTTGGGTACAACCAGAACAAAATTGTAGACTCAACCGAGCTTTTTGAATCAACTACAATACAAGGATCAACTGAGCTTAGTTTTAGCATTCTTGTGATACCAACATTTTGATTTTCTTCTTTTCATTTATTTGAAATTATACTGCAACCGTGATGTTAACTTCAATTATAAAGCCCTTGATATGTAATATTTACAGTATTTGCAGACAGTTGGTAAATTGGTTACTTCGCGCCAAAGAATTGTCTGCTCTGCTGTACAAGAATTGTCTACACCTACAGGTGGCTTTGTTTTATCTCTTCAAATCTGTCTGATTATGACTTGCAATGTTGAAAGTGACAGTATTGGTAGATTTGGTCTTATTGCCAACATTTATAATTGTTAAAATTAGTTGCTGCTGAAACAAAGGAGATGGAGGCGGCAAAGGCAGCTGAAGTTGCAGCTCCTGAAAAACCAAAACCTCCTGCAAAAGCTCCAGCGCTACCTGAGCTAATGGAGGAAGAGGTGATCCCTTTGCCGAAAGAAACTCTTGGATCTCAAGATGATATCTCTGAGCTTGAGCTATCTTTTGAAGACAACAAGGTTAGTCCTATGTTTTCGATATTCCAATCTTTAACAAAACTGTGATATTCACACACACCAAGAAACCCAAAACAAATAGATGCTAATTGTTGTGTGGTGTTTGATTGCGTTATAACAGCTAGAAGGTTCATTTCTGAAGAAGGGCTATCCTTATTCATTTTGGGCCTTCTTCCCTGATGGAGTTCTCACAGGTAAGTCTTCTGTTGAGAAACTTGAAGTTATGCCCCTATTGCTGCCTTATTGCACATGTAAATTCACTGTTCTCCTCTGGCTGTGCAGGTCCTAAAGGATTTTCTCTGTCCTCCTACGGGTATGAAGCGAGCACTGTTGAGCCATTTCTCATTGATGAGAAGAAAATAACAGCAAAACATGTTGTCTTCTGGGTTGAGAAGCGTTTGGCTGCTCAGGGAATAATTCCCGTTTGGAAAGAATAATTAGTTGTGAGGTTTCCATTTCAACCAAAATAGTGTATACATCAATTTTTGGTTTCATTGTTGATAATATATATAGTATTAAGTCCACAAAGGTATGCAATTGTTGATATATCTAATTCAATTCAATGGCATTTGTTTATACAGTGAAAGAAAATCATCTATCCACTGATCTACTTGTATATATACTGAAACATCTGAGATAACATTATATTTGCTTTTCTATCGATTGCCCTAGTCTATGTTTTTCTACAATTCATAGATTTGTGACTAGCTTCATAATATCATTCAATTGTACATCAGTTGTTGGAATACACTAGGTTGGGGTTACTAGAAACATACTGCAAATATGGATTTCCACCTAGCTAGATGACTAGGTTGCCAGATGTTATTCCAAAATATTAACATCAAATTTTAGTGCTTCAACTGTTTAGAAGTTTATAATTGAGAACCCCATGAATAGTTACTTGTCTGAAATCTGAATAGAAGAATAGTGATTTCACACAGCAAAGTGTTCCCCTTCTTTGTAGTTGTAATGAGAATGTTGTCTTTTAACTTCCCAGGGCTACGAGATCCATGCTGACATCCAGTACTCTCATTTCAAAGCCCGATATAAACAAGCTGCCAAGAGGAAGCTAGGGTGCAGATGAGCTGCTTGTTTAGGGGAAATCATTGTGCTATCCTCGGCGTCCAAAGTTTCTATGTCGAGAATCAAGAAGTCTGGCTTGGATCTATTTAACGAATGAGAGAAGTTACTAGGAACAAAAGAATGGATAATAAACACACTGTTTATCTACTCATTCTTCTTCTTTTAGTATTATTATTATTATTATTATTATTATTTTCATTTTTTAGCTCTGAGAATAACATGTATGCACAACCCCCATTCTAATACACCAAATGTTGATTCTCACAAAAATAAAAAATCAACAAAATGTTTTGAAAGTTATAGGTAGACCTTATGCAAGTGATATCACCCTCTAAAAATAGAGGTAAGATTGCATACATTTTGTACTGTGTAAACCTTATTTTAGCGAGAGTCTTGCTACCCTTTTTTTTTTTTTTTGCAACTTTATGTTACGAGGATAGCTACTTCATAACACATAAAATTGGGGAAATGTTTACCATGCACATTTAAGAATTTCATGTTTGCTTCTCCTATCTACCCTTTTGAGTACAATGCTCATTAAAATAGCACATAAATGGCACTACGATTTATCTTCCTAAAAGTATAGACTAAGACCTCGTTTGAGAACATGCTAATTTAATAATTTTTTAACTATTTAACTAAAATATAAGTTAAAAAAAACTAATATGTTTGAAATGACTTTTTAATTTTTTACGAAAAGATGTGTAAAAAGTAGAGAGAAAAAAAAATCTTGACTTTTTGGTATGAGTTGTTAATTTTTTGACTAATTTAATAACTTTTTGACTTTTTAACTAAAAAGAAAAGTTCCCAAACGAGGCCTAAAGAGTGGTTTATTACTGCAAATGAAAATGCATGTTAAGGTTTCACATATGGATAAGCCCGGAGTTTACTCATGAAACTGATACCACAAATGCCATACTACGTGGTAGTCTAAACCCTCCTCTACTCAACAATCAAATTCAAGGACACAGCATCTTGTACCGAGCATCATTGTAATTTTTTTTTTTTTGTTTTTTGTTTTTTTTTTTTTTTTTTTTTTTTTTTTTTTTTTTTTTGGGAAGGGGGGGGTGGGTATATCTAACCCACTTAGAGCAGTTGAAATGCAGGGGCAGATAGCAATGTGCACAAACGCGTACTTCTGTCCAATTAGAAATTGCCTGAAGTATCACACATCTGGAGTTAACGAACACATACAACACAGTGGTTCTGATTACACAGTCTAAAGGATTCTGGAAGTCCAAAGCCAAACAAAAGCTTTAAGTTCCGCGATTTTAATCTTAGGCGTCAGAGCTGGCATTTGCATCTTGCATTGCACACCGAAGTTCACTCAAGAAATCCATTTGCAAACCAGAAGGAGGTCCACCACTGCTGGTAGGAGTAGGAGACATCAACTGAAGACATTGGTCCAAAAGCATACTTAGTATGTATGTATGAGAGAGAGAAAGAGAGGGAGAGAATTTTCTATTGTCACCTGATGAGGAAGTCTGAATTGCCCCCATGGTGATGCACCACTCCCAGAGTACATAACAGGTCTGTCTGAAAAACAGAAGAAAAATAAAAATATCAATCATGATTATAGAGAGGTCATGTACATGGATTTTATGCTTGGACACTGCATTTCAACAAACTTAGAGGTGGGGTCACAGCAGGAGCTTTACACCTTATCAGGAACCAGTAGAGTGAGACTTTCTTGGTCAAGAACATTACTTTTATTTCATCTGAAAATGTTATTGGACAATGATAATAGAAACACATGATTTTCTATGTGGAATAGTTCCATAGCCAAAATTTTCATGTCTAATTGGAGTTTTAAACCCAAGTATACTAACAACTTCTTAGTGTCTTGTGTAATGAAGAAAATGGCTTTTCAGTTGTTGAAAGGAACACAGAACACAATTCCAAACCAAAGTAAGCTGTGTATCCCAATCAAATGAGGTCGGTTATGTGAACTCTTTTCGTCATTGGGCTCTGTCAAGGGCCATATGGCCAGATAAATTAAATAAATTTACATATTTTTTTAAAACCACCTTCATGTCAGTTTAGATCTTCTCCTCCCCCTAACATTTCTATTTATGGTGATCCTACAATTTGAAATTCTACGGAATACCTGAAATTGTACATAATCTATCAACACTATGCAGCATAAAGTGAAGGTATTGAAGCTCAGAGTCCAAAATATAACGAGTCTCAAACTAAAATAGTAGCAGTATCCATATTGTATACTTCTCCTATAGAAACTTGTAACACAATCAAATCGATCAATGTTTTAATCTCCAGAACAACTAGTTAGTTTAGCTGACACCACAAAAAGAAGATTACTTGTTATCAATGAATCACTAACGTCTCATCCAAATATTTGGGTCAGACTTGGTTGCATGAATCCTCATCTGATCTTTAGCACCAATACCATTACTTTAGCAGCAAAAAGTTTCCATCCTGGTACCTAATAAGCGTATTATTCCGTCCTGGTACCTACAGGGGCTTACTGACCAGATTCCTCTGCTGGTATTATCAAGCATATGAAAGTACATTTGTAGAGATCCATCCCTCCCACTGATAGCTATACAAGAATGCAAATACTTTTACATGGACATAATTTTTGGGTCTAATTATATCCTCACCATATATTGTTATAATCATCAAACCAAATTTCATTCATGATTATCGTCTTGTCTAGTCAAAAAGAAAGAAGGCATGCAAGGCAACCCTGATTCAACAATATTCCACAAGTAGAACCCATCAGCTGGTCTTGGCTACATTCACCAATATCATTGGATGCATCTTACCTTAACTAATCACACTTCACTGTCGAAGTACCACCTGGTTTACTTGAAATGCATATTAAGTGTTTTAAGTAAGGAACAATATGCTAGTACTATGGTTTTCATGCAACATCAGAAGAAAAACTTCTAGACAAAACACTTGAAAGATGAAACTTGTTCCTAAATGGAGAATCTCATGCACATGTGATGAAACCAGTCACAGCAAACAAACATTTGCATATATGAGAAGTCCTTTACTCACCAGCTAAATCAATTGACGGATCATTATATGCACTTATAGCAGCTACCCAACCTGCATTAGAATATTCAAGATAGAAATGATTATTCACAGAATTGAATTAATTCAAAACTGATTTGCTATATTATTTTGAAGCCCTAGTGAATCACCAAAAGGATTAGTTTAATACTTCCATTTCAATCCAAATTATAATTATGGCAGTTTCAATAGTGGTTATTGTGAATACCCGCCAATATAAGTTTACTGAAAGAAGAATTAAGAATACATAATATTTACAAACTATGATACTGACTTGCAACTCAACTAAGATTAATCACCACAAACTGGGGTTTGCACATGAATCATGCTTTTGCATTCCAATATAGGGCCCTTTTGGGGAGAAAAATGCTTGATACCCAATATTATTATTATGTACACTCCTATGAATTAATATATATTTCTCATTTTGATCTACAGAATCAAGACAAAAAAATTTCAATCAACGGATATTAAACAGAACTAGGTTGTTAGCAAAAGATTTAAATAGGTGCAATGAGCAAAGTCTCATACCAAATAAATATAGTCAAGCACAAAAGAGATAACAAAATCTAACTCATCTGCAGTAAACAAGAAGACTGGATAACCATAGTAAACAAAAGTTGGAGGTAGGCACAAAAGTTCTATAAGAGGATTCTGAAGAGGTGAAATTTTTAAGTAATCACCACTAACCATCTTCAATTAACAACTCTAATCCCATAACGTCATGATTTTACATGTGACCATGTGGGGTGGCTGTCCTATTTCCGCATAGTGTTCCAAGGAGGTATGTGAACACATTATGCTGCTCTTTAAAAGAACCAAAAATTCTAGTTAAGAGAGGAAGAATAAAAGAGAAAGGATGAATGAAAAAAGGGGGATTTGGTCAAAACAACCTCATAATAAAAATTTAATGCACTGAGGATAAGAACATAAGGTTTTTCTTGAAAAATCCAACAAATATCACTATTATCAAAGTATTAAACTTCAAAATAATACAACTTTTGATGTAGATGTCGGTTTTTAATAAAATTAATATTTTTAGAATTCTCTCATAAAGATCTATCAAATAAGATCTATGTTGACTATAAAATTCTTCATAAAAAAAAATTATTACTGTTGAAATTGATGTAAACAGTAATAGTAACATGTTACTCTTTTTTACAATTAATCTATTTGACAGTAACATATTATTCTGTTTGACAGTAACATGTTACTCTAGCAATATTGTCCAAGAAAGGAAAAAAAAAAAAAAAGAAGCTATTTTACTTTGTCCTTAATCAATTATGTATTTTCTCCTTAGGGGGTTTATGAAGAAAAATAAATTGAGTTGTTCTTTTCACCAAACAAGAGTCCAATGGAGGTGTTTTGACTAAATTCCCCATGAAAAAACGGATGTCCTTCCAAAAGCTATGATCTGTGCCTAAGTTCATTTTTATTCTAATGTCACTATACCACTTATTTGTATATGCACGTCCATGATTTATCACATCGATTGGAAATAACAAAGGTACTAATTCCTAATAAAATAAAGTATTCATCAAAGAAAAAGTAATGCAAACATACGGTCATTCAATAGCTGAAAAGCTTTGCTCCTAGAACACCCATGCAAGGATATTAACCCTGAATGAGGATTGTCATTAGCAACATTGCTGCCAACTAAATCCCCATGATCAGCAACATGAATGTTTCTTGAGGTGGCAACTTGATTCTTCTCTCCATCATTCATGTAATTGTTGTTTGTTCGTTCAAATCGATCTGCACAATGAAATGGACAATCTTCAGCATATGCAACATGGTACAATTGTTTTGCATGTAATTTTCCACATAATGCAACACTAAATGTTCTGTTTCCTTGGTCATTTGGTAGTAATTAGCACACAACTTGTATCTACATACAAGAACAAGTTTGGAAGGATGACAGTTTTAACTGTTTGATCCATGGACTATTTTTAATTTGTTTGTTCGGTAGTGTGATAATATATAAAGTGCATCCTCTAATGATAAAATCATGATATCAGTCATATAAATCTTTCCCTTTTCATTTTATAATTAGCAGGCAGCCTAGCATCATTAAATTAGACGCCACCTTGCCTAAAGTAACTGAAAATGTTTTACCTTTTTTTTTTCTTTTCTTTTTTCTCTGCACTAAAAATTAATGAATAGAGTTAATGATCATGCAACACAGAACATCAATCAGATTTTGGTGATTTACAATTAGAGTTAATGAGCATTGTAGCGTGGATTCAAGTCGCAAGAATCAACCACTCCATGAAAAAAGCGGGGTTAGAGTTGCCTACCTTCTCTTCCACACCCTACTGTAAGCGAAAGCCTGATGCACTGGCTATGACCTTTATACAATATACCATTCCTACCCCAAGTAACTGGTATACGCGTAAAGTTAAGTTCATACAATAACATTCCTAGAGAAATAATATGGTTCTAAGAAGTGAGGTGGGAGTCTGGCATATTCATGTATAAAAGGGCATGTAAAATGGAGCACTAAATAGGCAATAAATGTAGCACGGGAAAAGTGAGCTTCAGATCATTATCAGTACATATGTGGTAAACCAATGCAATACATACAACACTTGAGGAAAGAAAACTTCAACACTCGCAATCTACCAGGAGGAATTTTACCATTAAACATGACTATTCCCTAACTTGGCATAAAAGCATATATAGTACCAGATTTTGATGCACAATGTCAGCTGAATCGCATGCCTTCAAATCTTCACCGGTAATTATATTCAGCAAAATATAAAATCCAATGAATTTAAAACTCCATTTTAGCTCTTATATTTCATAAACTGCTATGCATACATGGGACACAAATGAGCCACATTTGATCCCATCTATTGCGACGACGACTTGTTGAAATCATTTTGTATACAAGGAGAAAAAAAGAAAAAGGAAACAACAGAGCTCAGGCTCAGATTGTTGTGTTCAAAGAAATAAACTTGGATAAAGGGAACACCATATTACACAATCATCAAAATAATCATTATTAAACCCAGTGAGTGAGTACAATCCATATACATGTGTAGATGGGTATAAATATGCATATAGTTACCATAACAATAAAGATTAAGGTTATGATTACTTACCTCCTCCTGATTTGCGCCTGCTGAGAGAACGATTCCTGCACAAGTTCCCAATTCACAAGCAACCAATCAATATCAATTAATCCACACCCACCAATCAATCAATCAAGAAAGAAAGAATGAGAGAGACAGGGAGACCTCTGATTGGGAGGAGCATAGCGCTTGACGGTGGTAATGTTGGGTGTGGAGGACGAGTCGGTAGGGTTTTCCAGCATTTTGATTATTCTCTCTCCCTCTCCACCACCTCTACCACCTCCACCACCACTTGGAATACGATTATATATGTATATTTATATGGTGCTGACGTGAAGTGCTCAGGTGCAGAGCATGGAGAGCAATTCAGAACCCTCGATTATACACTTGTCATCCAAACATTAATTTTTTTCCTTGGTCTGCTTCGTCAATAATACACAAACCCTAGAAGTTTTACCTAATTTGATAGAGAGAGACTCCTTACTCTTTTTCATTCATCTGTATTTATTTGACGATAATTTTGTCTGCAGGAGAAGCATCATCTCCACGCGTCTTCGTGGCGCGTGTATTGCACTTGCCTATTTTTCTGTCCCAGAAGAGGTTGCTACCAATGAGTTCGGATCCTCGGCCGCGGTTTCCTTCTCTGTTTCTTGTGGTGTTTCAGAACGATATCGTTTTGGTGTTAAATTCAAACTCCGTTTGGGAAGAATTAGATTGGGCTTTTTTGGCTTTTTTTAGCTACAAAAGACAAAATATACTATTTTAGCCACAAAAAATAAAACATCACATCTTACTCATAATCATTACACTTTTCTCTCACAAAAAAAGTCAAAAAGTCAAAAAAATCTTTCCAAACTAAATTTTTTAACCCAGGCTAAAATAGTCAAAAAGTAACCCACTTCCCAAACTAACCCTCAATTTTTTTTCCTTATTTTCCTTTTTCCCTCTTTTCCCTTGCTCTCTTGTCGATGTGAACCCTAACCATCAAAGACGAACATGAACAGAGGAGAGAAGAGAGACAAAACGGAAGGAATAGAGTCGGAGGACAACGACGAACATGAACAGAGGAGAGAAGAGAGACAAAACGGAAGGAATAGAGTCGGAGGACAACGACGGCGGGCGAGATGGCATCGATTCAACAGTGAGGCGAGGCGAGGTAAGATGTGGTCCCTTCAATATTCATTCTCACCTAATCTTCAATCTTCATTATATAATATATATATATATATATGATTTCTTGAGTCCAATTTCGTGTTGCTGCCATAAATGGGTTTGATTTTATAGGGTTTAATTTCTTGGGTTTTATGAGCTTGATTTCTTGTTGCTGCCATAAATCAAGTTCTTGGTAAGATTTAAGTGGTAATTTCATGAAATGAGAGAGTTCAGAGGAGTAATTTTCTTCTCTTCTATGTTATTGGTTTTTACATTTTATTGTTCCATATTATCTGGATTGATTTCCAAGGAAAGAAACATGAAGGTGTTTGAATTTAGTTTGGCTGAGGGAACAAACTACAGAAGATAAATGGACCAATACTTCCTAGTGATTTTATGTTTAAGGAAGGGAGGGTAGATGGGTGCACAAATTGCTTTCAATTTGAAGGTCCAAAATGCTTATCTATGAATAAAATTCTTTATTTTATCATTGATAAATGGACAGAATTGAGGACAACATTGAAACAAAGCAAAAATCTGATTTTAGATTTGTTAATTTCTTGGGTTAGATTTGTTGTTGATTTAAGTGATTTGATTTATTGGGTATTATTGTTTTGTATAAAATTGAAGTTTTGAAGCAAAAATATGTTATGGTTTGGTCAATTTGAAGCAAAAACCGGTTTTGCTTTGTAATAGTAAAGGCAAAAAAGAATGTAGAGAGTTGGTAGATCATATTTTATTATTACTAGTGGTGTTTGCCCAACTGATGTGTTTGCCCAGCTGCTAGCGTGTGTTCTACTTCTGTATTGCAGTTGCTATTGGCAATATTAAAAAATCTGAACTAATGCTTATTTGTGAATAAAATTCTCTATTTTATCATTGATAAATGGACAGAATTGAGGATAACATTGAAACAAGGCAAAAATTTGATTTTAGATTTGTTGTTGATTTCTTGGGTTAGATTTGTTGATTTAAGTGATTTGATTTATTGGGTATTATTGGTTTACATAAAATCGAAGTTTTGAAGCAAAAGTATGTTATGGTTTGGTCAATTTGAAGCAAAAATCTGTTTTGATTTGTAATAGAAAAAGCAAAAAAGAAGATAGAGAGTTGGTTGATATTTTTTATTAGGCAGTGGCTTTGGTCCAATCCAAGATCGGATTGGACCGTGCTGTTGGGCTCGTGAGGGCCCATCACAGGTCCCGTTTTGATAATTCGAACCGTCAATGTGTAGAACTTATCAAGTACTATATGCTTGTAAAAAATCACGTTGATCGGATATCGATAGCTATGTGAACAAAACAGTTTTTTATCAACCGTTAATTGTTTCACCGTCTATTTTTTTTATACAAAAATGATTTGATCACATAGCTATTGATATCTGATCAATGTGATTTTGTTAGGCATGTAGTATTTGAAGATTTCTACATATTGAACGGTTTGGATTATCAAAACGGACCCAAAAAATGGGCTCAATGGGTCGAACTGGACGGGTCCAGTCCTGATCTCAACTTGAGACAAGTTTTTGCCTAATTGATGTGTTGTCTAGCTGCTAGTGTGTGTTCTACTTCTGTATTGCAACCGCTATTGGCAATATTAAAAATTCAGAACTTTTATTGATGCTCTTATTTTGTCTTCTACAGATTTTGGATGTAGAAGGGGAAAAATGAGAGAGGTAAAGATGAAGATAGAAAGATAAAGCAAAGGCCAAAGATTTTGACAAAGATGAAAGAAAACACAAGGATGAGGAAACTTTAAAGTGAGAAAATAAAATTGAAGTAACAAATTTGGTTGGACTACTGAAGTGGCTCCTTTGGTTGGCATGAGTAGTGACTTGATTGCCCGCAATGAAATTGGATCAAAATGAATGTAGTTAAATTAATCTGAATGTTATAGATTAATATTTGCAATGACAATATTGATTGAATAAACTGATATGCTGGTTGATTGAATGAAACAGCTTGTGTATCTTAGTTGAATGAAATGATTTAGCAATTTTGATTGAATCAAATGGTTTGAGCATCTTAGTTGAATGAAATGTTCTTGATTAAATGAAATCCTATGTTGTCCTTTGAAACAATCAACTTTTCTATTTTTTTTTTCGACGTACCTTGAAGCTTGTTACGAGCATTGCAAATGGCTCCCCTTTTTTTCTCCTTTTTTTCTTTTTCTTTTTTATGGTTTTGCCTTTTCTGTTCTTCTCTTTTCTTTTTCTTTTTTTGTTCATTCCTCTTTTCTTGTTTATTTAATTTTAAAACATGGACCTAAAACATGTTTTACATAATTTATAATAGGGTTTGTTATATATCACCTCTTCATTTTTTTTTGCTCTTTTTGTTGTTTATTCCTCACGAATGATATGAAATAAAACAATGATACATAACAAACCCTGTTCTACAAATCTCATTCAGTCACAATCAAATTGCATAAAAATAGATAGTAGACTAAATTTTTTTTTATCAAACAATCTCCTAGGACTCATTTGATCTATACAAAATGACTTTATCAATCTCTTAAAAGACTGATTAGATCTATATAATATAACCATACTCAAATTTGCAATTCCATGAATACAATAGAAGTAGAAAAATGAGAAAAATAAAAACTATAAAAATGATATTTTCCAAAACTGCTTCATTTCACATGAATATCATTAGAAGATCATTTCAACTAGTTAGAATTAGTAACTTGAATGAAACATGTTCGGCGATCAGCAACGATGACGCTTGATCATGAAATGAATTGATGACGATGAATCGTAGTTGATATGAGATGCAGCAATCCATATGCGGGTCCATTTTGTCGCTATCACGGAGCTGTCAGGACTATAGAGAGAAAAGAAACAGGATTTTCATGGCCGCATAAAGTATGTTCCACTATCAAATTACCTTGGTTGGGCACATGTATTCAATGATCGAAGTGAAGACAAGTCAAAAAATGAAAATTTTCAATGATCAATGATAATCATTTATGTTTTATATATATATATGGGTTAGAGTTCTGCTGAATTAGAGCTCTATTATGACCACAATTTTGTGCTGCACTGTGAGTATGCTAGTTTTTGGAAAAACAATTTATATATATATATATATATATATCAGTAGAAGTCAAAATGTAAGAACAATGGAAAAAGAGATGAGAAACAAACCTTGAGATGACCATGTGGACATTGCAGAACTCGAACCTCTTGTTTCATTGAGGTTACCAATAGATGTTGCCGGGAAATCGGATGCAGTCCTGAATTCATTCATCCACACTTTCACAGAAACAAACAAACAAACAAACAAAAAAATTATGATTAGAGGAAATTAATAAGGAAAAACAAAGAAGATTGAAGGAAATGATTCAAAAAACAAAATGACAAATACAATAATCCATAGTAATTTGAGTGAATGCTTGGTATCCATTCTTCATAAGCAATAGCCTTTTTAGGGAAAAAAATTAAAAATTAAATAGAGAATTTTATTCACAGATAAGCATTTTGGACCTTCAAATTGAAAGCAATCTGCACACCCACCCACCCTCCCTCCCTTCCTTAAACATAAAATCACTAGGAAGTATTGGTCTATTTATCTTCTGTAGTATGTTCCCTCAGCCAAACTAAATTCAAACACCTTCATGTTTCTTTCATTGGAAATCAGTCCAGATAATATGAAACAATAAAATGTAAAAACTAATAACATAGAAAATAAGAAAATTACTCCTTTGAACTCTCACATTTCATGAAATTACCACTTAAATCTTACCAAGAACATGATTTATGGTAGCAACAAGAAATCAAGCTCATAAAACCCAAGAAATTAAACCCTATAAAATCAAACCCATTTATGGCAGCAACACGAAATCGGACTCAAGAAATCATATATATATATATATATATCTCGCCTCGCCTCACCGCCGAATCGACGCCATTTCGCCTGCCGTCGTCGTCCTCCGACTCTACTCCTTCCGTTTCATCTCTCCCCTCTCCTCTGTTCATGTTTTTCTTTGATGATTAGGGTTCACATCGACGAGAGAGCAAGGGAAAAGAGGGGAAAAGGAAAAAGAATGAAATTTTTTTTTTTAATTTATGGCCAAAACGACGTGGTTTTGAAATACTACAAGAAGTGCGACAATGAATCACGACCGAGGATCCGGACTCGCTACGAGATAACCCCGACAATTAGGCTTAGGTACTATTTGGTATAAATTAAATAAATATATTGTACATTTTTTTTTTGGTAAAAAATTAAAGGTATATTTATTTAAATCATTTTAAACAATTACTTTACCTAACCTTATTTCAAAATGTTGGCATACGTTACATTTTTTTTGTTATAAAAAATATTTTATTAACGTTTGTGTAAAAAAGAGTACGAAAAATATAATCGATACGATTCAAATTCAAGTTTTATATTGGTAAGCTGGTGTTTCAACGATCAAATCAATTTATTGATATTTACTTTAATCTTAGAATTGGAGATGATATGAGTTGAGTTTGGATATTAAAATTCAACTTAATTATAAAAATTGTGTTTGGTAACTTTTTGTAGTAGTTTGAGCTGAGACTAAGGGTTGGTTTGGGATGTTCTAAAAAAGTGTACTTTTTGACTTATTAGCTTATATGGGTTGGGTTTTGGTTGGGTTTGATGTGATGTGTTAGAGAGGTGATGTGATTTAAATAAGATGATGTGACTTAAATAGGATAGTGACTTTTTAACTTTTTGTATTATTTAAGTTATGCCAAACTTGGCCTAACCCTAACTTGATTACTAGTTTTGAAATTGCAAAGCAAATTTTAACGTAATTTGTAAATAATTTAAAAAAGTCTAGCCCTTAACATTTTAAGGTCAAGTTTGACTAAACTAAAAAAGTGCACTTATTTCATCTTTTTATCTTTTTTGAGTCACATCAATCAACATCTTCTCTCTACTTTTTCTACACATAATACAAGAAAAGTCAAAAAGTGTATTTATTTAATCTTTCCAAACTTAGTCTAAATATTATATATTTTTTAAAGTATACGATCAAGCGTAAAGAGTATGAACATCAATTTTTATGAAACACATTAAAAATTTGTGATCATGATTTTTGTTTTTCTCCTCTATTCTTGAACCTTTTTTTTCCCCTAACAAAAACACGAATTTTCACAAGTATTCATAATTATTTTAAATAAAATTTACACTTGAAGTCTATACAATTTTCTTGTCTACAACCCAAAAAAAGTATGGGGTGGTCAATGAAATTTTATTAAAATAATGTCGCCCTTCGTAATAATTCCGCCAAAGTGTAAAACCTTTCTCTCTCTCTCTCTGTCTCTCTCTCTCTCTCTCAACATATTGACATTGCACGAGTCTGATTCTGCTAAATCCACAATCAGAAGAACGAAAGACTTGTGTGAGCAATGGCAGGAGACGAGAATCGAAGAATCCCTAAACGATCTTCTCTTAAAATCCCTCTTTCTTTCAATACTCATTCCAATTGGAAAGCCAAGGTCTTTATCTCTTCGTTTTTAATCTCTTCTTTTTTGCCCATTAATTCCCTGAACGTTAATTTCTAAATCGTCACTTTTTAATTTGTGTTTTTCTATAAAATTAATAAATTATTGGAATTTCATGTGTGTGTGATGTTGTATGTTGGGAAGATGATGAATTTCATGTTTTTTTCAAGTGTAGCTCAGAGAAAACTGTTACAAAAGGGTTCAAGAGGATCGAGCCCGCTTGCTTTGGAAATTAAGGTTACCCGAGGCTAATGATCGATCTCTCAGTGATAAGGTTTGTTTTCCAATTCTCAATTGTGTTGTTTCTCTGCATATGTACTTGTAAAATAGTTGTCTCATAATAGTTTGCTTTGATACTTTGAGGCTACATAGTGAAGAAAACAAAGGTCATGTTTGTTTTACTCCATAGTTGTCCTATCGTTCAATCCCACCATGCTCATAATCCCACCCAATCTAATCCAGCGAACAAACATGGCCTAAGGTGTTATTAGTTATTGGGTATTGCAAGTTTTTGTTGCTGTCAATTATTAGTGGTGGCTTTTTTTTTGTTGCTGACAAGTTTTTGAATGACATGTGCTATTTTACTTTTCATTAAGTTTCCATTTTGACTTACTCTCTCTTCTTTGTGAGTACATTCATGTTGCCATCCCAGTAAAAACAGTTAATTTGCACACCCATTTAAAAAAAAAAAATTCTGGATGCAGGAATTCATCAAATCAACCTTCCAGGACATAGTTGCTGATGAATTTAAAAAAATTAAGGATTCATCAATGGATGAGAATTCTGAAATTTTATCTTCCACACCTGAAGTAGATGATGCATTATGGGAATATGAAGGTCTTCATACAGCTTATCAAGGAGAATGTGAAGAGATATTATTAGAAATGCAAAGGATTTTCTATGAGGATCTTAGAACAGAACCAACTAGAAGAGGTAATATAACTCAGGGTCGCTTCTTTCTGAAGAGTTACAATTAGATTTTTGACATCACGGGTTTTGTATGGACTTCGTTAGCATACTTCAGCCCAACAATCTTGTGAACAAATAATGGGAATCAATTCAAACAATTTGGGAAACTAAACAATTAGTCTAATAATCTAAATGATTTCTACAAAGCCTTACAGTTTTTCTTTTTTGTTTTTTGTTCAGCCTTACAGTTTTTCTTGTTCTTTTCCATTTTTTCCTTGGGGGGTTTTATTTGTTCAAATCATATTTCGAGTTTAGATGTTTACTTTTGTTCCTTGCAGAAGAGGGAATCTATATCAAAACTTGGGAAGATGAAGAAGATGAGTACTTGGCTCGTGCAGTCTATGAGCATATGCAGTTGAATGATAAGCAGGTATGATACCCAAACTATGAGAGTTGTACATATGAAGACGTTCCCCTAGGTGTCAAAGGTAAATACGATATTAATTCTTTAAGCTTGATATTTGCATAGCGAAATTAGGGTGTGAGAATACTATCTCAATTAAGAGCAGTGATACGAATGTAGTGTCCTAGGAGCACAGACAGTCCTCTAGGATACTGTATTTGTGTCCAACACATCAGACACCAACACCAGGGGACACACACCACCGTCAAGTGTCCGATGCAGCATTTTCTTATAGATTAACCTTGGTCCAAAATACTTTAATATTGCAGCACCCCCCGCCTACCCACTCATCTAATCCTTGTAATCACTGCATGCCATAAGCACATTGCTAGGCCCATGGGGTTGGCTAGTCTTTCCTATTAAGTAATTTTTAATTAATTTATTTATTTCCATTTTTTTGTGAATTTGACTGCATAACAGCTGAGCTGCACAAAGGGCATGGCACTCCCTTCCCATAAACCATCCAAGCCCAACGAAGGCAATATTGGCATTTAATTCTAAATGTAACTGCCTCGAGACTGTATCTACCTCGAGGCTGAACTAAATGTACCTTCAACGTGTAGAACCATTCTAGTGACTTTCTTTCACCTAGTCTGTGATGTATTGGGTTAATAATTCATGTGTGGTATTTTCTTGGTTTGTATGTCACCTGAATCATTATATTGCTTTTGACCTATTTCATGATGTCGTGTTATATAATCTAGTTGGCAGCTTGAAGTTATAAATTATTTTCATTCTATCTTATTCTTTATGTATGTTTCTTTTAGGTGGACAAGGTGACGTGGTGCCCTGTCTGCAAGAAAGGAGAGTTGCAAGAGAAATGCTTTTCAATTTTTTGCAGTTTTTGTGAATTTAGACTCAACAGAAGCAATGAGGTTCTGTTTTTACTTCATCTCTTAACATCTAATTCTATTTTGCAAGCACAAATTTCTTGTGCTAGTTTGGGATCTTTAGTATCAAGTGGAAAATTTTCCTTTTGTTGCCATCAGAATGGCCAAAATGTTTCCATTGCTTAAGAGAACAAAATGAAACACTAGTGGAATAAGAATATTCCAGTGTTTCCACTTTCCACCTAAAGGCAGCAAAACATTAAGAAACACACCAAATCATAATGAAATTTAGCAAAACAATACATTGTGTTGACACAAATTCAGAAAAAGTAGAATGCTTCTTGTTTTTTTCGTCTTTCCCATGGGGTTGAAAAGGAAAAAAGTACAAATGAAATGATGTACCAAAAACCAGGAATCGTGGTCATTTTTGTTTGTTGTTGTTGTTGTGGGAATATTAGAAGTCTGACCATTCCCATTATTTTGGCATATTAGGTTACGTTGGATTTGTTGAGGAATCGGCTGGCAGAAGCCCTTGCAGAACATCTTGATAGGGGGTGCAGATTGAAACCCAAGTTCTGCATCGAGACTAGATTTGATCTAACTGCACTGTACATCGAGTGCCAAGGTTGTAGTATTTTTGAAGTGGTAATATAGTGTTTTTGTGTTTTTGTTAAAAATAATTTTTTGTGTGGTTTTCCACTGTAAATTTTTGCTGTATATTTTTGAAATATACACGCTTCTGTTAATCTCACACCTTTTCATTTCCTTCTAATTTTTTTTTGGAGAGTAGGAGAAGCAATTTTGTTTATGCAGTTTGCTATACTTCTCTCTCTCTCTCTCTCTCTCTCTCATGTATGTAGGGAAGCCAATTTTTTGTGTTTTTTTTTTGGGTGGATAAGCCAATTTTTTGTTGCTTCAAAGGGATCTTTTTAGCACAGGCTATTATTTTATTTTGTTTGGGGGAAGATTAGAGAAAACTTGGATTATGTATTTAGCATTTGTTACTGCCTCTCAAGTGCAGCAAGCATTCTTTCAGCCTTCAAGGTAAATCCACTTGATGATACACATACATTATCGTTTGAGTTTTGCCTCAGTGAGTGGGCATGTGCGGCGATCTGGTTTAGGGATCAGCACTAAGCTTTTTTCAAGGTAGCAAATAACAGGGAGCTGGTGGAAAGACGGGAAATGTAACCACTAAATTTGTCATCGTAGTCATATTCACTCCTCAAAAACAGCAGCAGAGCATATGCAACTTGTGTTCCAAATTGGTTTAAAGAAGACATCCATTCTCGGAAGTACTGAGTATTTAAAATGATGATGAGTCAAGAAAAAAGGAGTAGGAAAAAGCAAATCACTGTGAAGCCTAAAATTTATGTCATTTTATGATCGTAACTTTATTACCGACAGAGAAAGTGAAACAAGTTTCAAAAATTGTCACATTAGTTTTCTCATCTGTCTCTTTTGTTCTCTATATTCTATACATCCATAATCCAAACATAATTTTCATGGCAGGCAAAGTGGGACGTGACTGCTAGCGGGTTCTTTGTGGAAAAGGAAATTATTATTGATTCTCTAAACCCCCTCAGAAAACTGTTTTCTATATTGCCTCTGTGCAGTAACTACCTGAAATGGAGAAATATTACTAATCCCAGAGAAAATGTCCTGGCAGTCTTGTCATAATCGACCACAAACCATTCTCAATAAAAAATTTAAAATTAAATCATCACAAAAGCTTTAGAGTATAGAACAAGTAGCACGCCAGTTCAACAATTCTAGCCTCAATGAATTGGCATTTGGTGATGGCTTTGCTGTGCTTGTTATGATTGGACCACCTGTTATGATTTTTCCACACTAGAGGTAGCAAGCAGTTTGGATCATAGGGTTGACCATGTTTAGACTTATTCGATAAACTATACAACTTACAAGTACAAAAACATTTTTAAGGCTATTTACAATTACAATGTACCTATCAAATTAACTTAAGAAATCCTCAGTATATACAAGTTGGAGAATAAAGCTAATTCCAGAAAAAGAAAATGGGGAAAAAAAAAAAAATTTTTGAATCATGGAAGCCAAGAGAAACATATAAATTGATTTGATTGGCAATTAAGGCCAAAACTTGAAATCTAGAATACATACGTGTATATATGACAAGCCCACCCTATAAAGTTCTCAACTCAACACAGCTCATTTCAAGGGTCTGACATCAATAAACATATTGGTATTCGTCCAACAGATCAAGCCCCACCACAAACAAAAGAAAATGAAAGGGAAAAAAAAAAAAGAAAAAAAAGAATCATGGACGGACAAAAAATTATATCCTGCAGATGAGATGGGTGATTAAATTTGACATAGATGTGTAGGGCAATGGGCAATAATGCTACTCTACACCGGTACCAATTTACAGCAGCAGGACTGGACCAGACTCTTACATTTCAGGCATCTCGGCACCGATGGAAGTCTCCAGTATCAACCCACATAATGCGAAACCTATGCATGGTAGCAGCAAAGAAGCAAAATGTCCACTGGAACTGTAGTGAAATTTCTCTCTCATCAAATGGTAATGCAGTAGCCAAGATATCAAAAGAATCATGACAGAATTCAAAAGAGCTCCTCTGAATTAAACTTGTTCCAAGCCTCCTATTTTATCAAATCAAACTTAAAATGAGAGAAAGCCCAATAGACAAAACCAACAGTAGAAAGATTTTCAATATCAATGAAAAAGAACGCAAGGAAAATAAAAACTAGAACTATAAAGAACATAAACAAAAGACCGTAACTCGTGACTCGTGAGAATGACTTCACTCAAAAAACAAGAGAGAAGAGATTGGGGGGCAAAGATCGGGGCATGAAGTGCAATGATCTAGACATACAGCACATTTGATACTCACTTATCGAAAACCCATTTAAGCAATCTAGATTGTAGATATTTGGTCCTCTAACAAGCCAAAGTCTAAAATTTATTTTTTCATTAAAAAATATAGCATTTTTTTTTTAATCCAGGTGATGATGAAAGGGCTGTAAAAGTAATAAAAAGGAAAAAAAATACAAAAAGTATGCACTTAGGCTGTGTTTGGTTCATGGATTTGGGTAGGGATTTGGAAAGGAAAAAGGAAAAAATGTGTGAAAAATGTGTGAAATGTAACTATATTTCATTCACATTTCACCTATATTTTCCCTTTCTTTTTCCAAATCCCTCGCTAAATCCATAAACCAAACACAGCCTTAAAGAATTAATGGATAATAAAAAAAGTACATGAACATGAGAGAATAAGGTAAACAACATATTCTAATATCATTTTGGTTTTGATGACTCTTCTTCACATTGCATATTCAATAATTGCAAGCATTTAAAAAAATTATGACAATAGTACAATATAAACTTGTTAAAGAAAATTCAGATAGCATGATAAGTACCTTAAGAAGGTCAAACACCTTCTCAGCAACATATTTTTGTTGAAGAGTGGCACCTTTTTGTTGCACCTTATCAGGATGGATGCACAGAGTTGCCTTCCTATAAACTTTTTTGACTGAGGCACCAGTAATCAAATCAGTCAAAGAAACAGGCTGCCAACCGCATTCAGGCCATAGCACCTGATCATCATTGAACGTAAAGTTGGAACATTTATAATAAACCGAAAATTTTAAAAGATAGAAAACTAGTTCTTTTTTCTTTTCTTTTCTTTTAACAAGTAATAGAAAACTCCACAATTCTCAAATGTCCTAAGATACTGCATGGCTTATTAAAAGAATTAAGAGACCAGCAATAGAAAACGAAAATAAGAATAAATATATATAATAGGACAAATAATAAATATACAAAATTATATATTTTGTTTGTGTCGACGTGTCTGTATCATGATGTATGTCCATGCTTCTTAGCTACACAACATACAATGCTCAGACCTAAAAGGCAGAGTACGTCAATGACAAGAACGAAACACATAAATGCAGAAGACCAACAACTTAAACAAGATCATCCTATTACTACCGTAAAAAAAAAGATACCAAATACACTTTTAAGTAAAAATAAGCAAATAAGAATAAGGGCATACAGGCATTTTTACAACTTACAAGGGGCCCATGATATATGAGCCTAGGGAAAATACTGCTATTCGGTTTTAATCTGAATTTAAACCTTCATTTGTATCTATTTAAGATTGGTAAGCTGCTCATCAGATTTATTTTATATTTACTAGCTTAAAAATTTAAGAGCATGATATTCCAAGATTGATTAGGTTAAGTTGTAGTACGAGTGTATGGGCTTATTTTGTGCATATCTAAGAAGCAAGGACACATCTGAGAAGGTGACGCATCCGTGTCGTGTCCGTGTCGGACACCGATACTCTTTGGACACTCTTAGGACACGTGTCTGACAATCTTCAAAACGGGTCTTATTTTTTAAATTTTTTTAAAGATCCAGACACTCTTTGAACACTTGAAAGACACATGTGTCAATCGCTTAAACACATGTAAAACTAATTATAAATTTGAACAAAACAACTTAAGATACAATAATAAAACAAAACCCATATAAATTTATAAAAATTAGTGTCATATTGCATTTTTTATTATCTTTGAATGATAAATTTATATATATATAACATAAAATAAATATTTAAAATTATATATTTCATACGTCCCTCACGTGTCGTCGTGTCTTGCATTTTTTGAAAATTAACGTGTCGGCATGTCCCTGTCGTGTCACGTGTTCGTATCCATGCTTCTTAGGTGCATATTATGTTATAGGGTCATACCATGTAGTCCTTATAGCAAAAGGTACTTTCTATACAATTCGCTGTACCCTATTTCAAACTTGATACGCTAGACCATCGAAGAAATCTTTTAGGCTAGGTTTGGGAAGATGGTTTGTGACTATTTTAGCCACAAAAGGCAAAATAGGCTATTTTAGTCACAACAAATAAAACATCACATCCAACTTATAATCATTACACTTTTCTCTCATAAAAAAAGCCAAAAAAGCCAAAAAGCCCTTCCCAAACCAAGCTTTTTAGCCCAGACTAAAATAGCCAAAAAAGCCAAAAAATCAAAAAGCCAACCCACTTCCCAAACCAAGCTTAAAACCTTACACTACCTCTTGGGCTTCAATGCTTCAAACTCGACACCCTAGCCTATCAAAGTTGAAAGAAACCTTTTAACTCCTTACCCTATCTCGTGGGCTTCAATTAAAAAAAAAAATATTCTTAATTGTTGTTTAAAGGTTTCCAGTAACTAGTTTCTCAAAATCCAAAATCAATCACTTTGATAACCAAGCCAATTGCAGCACCTCTACATCTGTAAACCCTGTACCTAACCTTTTAGGATCCTAAAATACAAGCTTCCCTTGACATTAACCCACAAAAAAACCACAAAACTACCTAAGGTTGTTCCACAAATAAAAGTGGCAGTTCCATTTGTGTCCTTGTTTAGGCACTTTTTAAGCAACCTCTGCCAAACACATCCACTAATTATTTCAACACCTCTAAATAAGCACCTTCAAATAAGTTTAGCAACCTTAATGCTGTGTTTGGTTGGGAGATTTGGGGAGAGATTTAGAAAAGGAAAGGGAACCCTAAGTTCAGCAACCCTACCTTTTCCATTTCCTTTTCCAAATCCCTCCTCAAATCCCCCAACCAAACACAGCATAAGGGGGCCTAAATCATCAACGTATATGAGAAACAGTGTGGGAAACATGAACAGAACTAGACCAATAACTTCCAAAAGAGAAGGGAAAAGAGAAACGAAAAGAAAAGAAAATATAAAACTGCAACAGGTTACACCAGTAAGGAAAGGTTTACCTTCAAAACCCAGAAGCCAATAGATGTTTGAAAATAATACAGCAGAGGCAATAAATTAGTAATAATCAAACTGGCTTTAAATGTCATGCAATAGAGTTTAAAGCAGGAAGATAACGAAACGCACGTATTGCATTGTTGATAGCAGTGCACGCAAATTTCTTACCCTTAGCTTCCCTGCAGCCCAACGTTTGATCTCAACATCTAATGTTTCGGCAATCCTCTGAAACCAGGAGCAGCTCAAAATCAAATATTTGGAACTATATATGCTGATGGCAAGCACGTTTCAATGTAGCCAAGAAGCAAAACAAACCCAAAATACATCACAGTTTGGCATCCATATCAAATAACTGAAGGTTGATGAAAAATGAAAATCAAAGATAAAACACATGACAAGCCTCCATTTGCAATTAAGAATCATGTTTTCGTGGTTAGAAGCATTAGGGGAAAAAACAGATACAAACAAATAAAATTGACTTGATTTATAAAATACGTCTATCCCACCCAAGATCTAACTATTTATTTAGTAACCATACATTTCAATGTGTATGCATGCAAGAATGTCTGTCAAAGTTGTAAGTTGAGCTTGTTGAGAGTAAAATGAAAAACAAACAAGAAGATTGGGTGGGTTTTATGGAATGACTACGGAGAGTGCAGCGGAGGGGTTATGTTGGTTATGGATAAGGCTTTGGTAGGATGTGATGGTTATGCATTCATGAGTGTGGGTTTGGTTGGAGGAGATGGTGGGTAGTGAAAGCCATTTGAGAGTTGTGAAGACGGGCAGGTGGCATCAACGGTGATGAGAAACAAAGAGATGTTAGAGAATGGAAGAGAAGTTCCGCGGAGCAAAGGATTCTTGATTGATGCAATAGCTCCAGTACCAAATAAGGCAATAACTAGGATGGGTATTTCATATTTTCCAAGAAGTACAGACGCAAACCTTTATATTGCGCAAGTGCCCTAGTATAGTGCTAGTACCGGATTGGTTATTTCACCTGCATTCCATGCACTATAAATTTTTAATTTTAATTTTATTTTTATTTTTTCAGTCTCAAACTGGTATAGAGTAAGTGATATACATCTAATCCTAACCAACAATTTGTTTTTTTTGTTATCTTTTTTTTTGTGTTAATACCATAACACCGTTGGCCCATTAGCCCTTCATTACAGGATGGAGGCCTCCGGCATGAATGTCATGATAGATTGCCGCAGTTTACCCAAAGGTCATGTTTGTTTGGGTGGACATGAGCTTGGGATTGGACTAATAGTCTAATAAAATTATTAATCCGATGTTTGGTTAAACAATTGAAGTACAGATTAATTATTTTAAACTTGACTATTAGTTAAGATAGGATACATAATCCAACGGATTCGTAGTCTTAGGACTATGAGTCTTGGGAATGCTAATCCAGTCCGCCCAAACAAACATGGCCAAAAAGTACTGTAAATCCGCAAGCGCATGTTGATCAACTTGTCCATATTCTACCCGTACTTATGCGACTGGTGGTGTAGTTTGATAGATGCCCAACTATTAGGGAGTGCAAAACAGAAGTGAATACGCCACCATTGATGGAAGCAATAGGCTGGTGAGGTAATTATAAATGACCTCAAGGTGGTTGAAGGCAATGGTGTGGAGAACTAATTATAATGATTGATTCTGCTTTGTAATTCATCAAATGGAAGTCAGATAACATGATTTTTTTATTTTTTATTTTGATAAATAATAAAATTTTATTGAATAAGCATCAAAATGATGCACTGAATACAAAAACCGAAAGAGGAAAACAAAACTCGCCTAACCAATTACATCATCCAAAAAATCTAAGAAAGTAAAGAGATCTGGATCAACTGTCTAAAAAGTAACTAAGAACCTGTCCACCAACTACCACACTGAATGCTCAATTCCTTGGAAAACTCTCCCGTTCCTTTCCAGCCAAACCAACCACATCAAACAAAAAGGCACCAACGACCACACCCGTTGTTGACGCCACCCAACCCAAGCCCCCCTCCAACTCCACAACATGTCCACAACCACCTTTGGCTGCACCCACATAATCCCAAAAAGAGAACAAGCCAGCCCCCAAAGTCGCGAAGCAACAGAACAATGGAGAAATAAATGATCAACCGACTTCGCATCAACACAACACAAACAACAACAGTTCACTAGCATAAGCCCTCGACGAACCAAATTATCAATTGTAAGATTTCAACCTAAGGCAAAATAAAACCACCTTAGAAGAAACTCGAGGTACCCAAATATTCCTCTACGGAAACGCACCTCCCACCTCCCCCATCAAACTCCGATAAACGGACCAAACAGAAAACTTACCCTTAGCACCCACCACATTCCGAACACACACATCTTCCCCCTACCCGATATGCCCAACCCATATAGAAAACCGAACAACTCCCCTAACTGACCCACTTCCCAATCTTGAACTTCACGTCGAAGCTGAATATCCCAAACCACCACCTCCCCACCCCCCAAATAAGAAGCAACCATGGCCTCCCGATCCCTAGCAATGTTAAAAATCAAAGGGAATCCCACCGCCAACACCATCTCCCCACACCATCTGTCCTTCTAGAATCTAACCTTCTCCCCAATGCCAACCTAAAAATTCATCATCTCCCAAATATTCCTCTACAGAAATGCACCTCCCACCTCCCCCATCAAACTCCGATAAAAGGACCAAACAGAAAACTTACCCTTAGCACCCATCACATTCCAAACTAACACATCTTCCCCCCTACCCGATATGCCCAACCCATATAGAAAACCGAACAACTCCCCCAACTGACCCACTTCCCAATCTTGAACTTCACGTCGAAGCTGAATATCCCAAACCACCACCTCCCCACCCCCCAAATAAGAAGCAACCATGGCCTCCCGATCCCTAGCAATGTTAAAAATCAAAGGGAATCCCACCGCCAACACCATCTCCCCACACCATCTGTCCTTCTAGAATCTAACCTTCTCCCCAATACCAACCCAAAAATTCATCATCTCCCAAAACTCCACCCCTCCCCAACCAAATTCCTTTCTACAAGCCCCTCCCATGAGACCCCATCACATCCCCCGACCGCCATTGCCCTCACTGACCCCAAACTTAGAAGCCACCACCCTCCGCCATAAACGATCCCACTCTCCAGCAAACCGCCACAACCACTTCCCAACAAAACCCTATTAAACTGCACCAAACTCTGCACCCCCAAACCACCCACCCCCTTGGGGGTGACAAATCCACCCCCAATCAACCAAGTGAAATCTGAAATCCTCTCCTCCAACCCCCCACAAAAAATCCCTTTGAAGTTTTTATAGACGCTCAGCCACAGAGACGGGAATAACATGCAATGACATAGAGTAGATCGGAATACTGCTCAACACACTTTTAATCAACATCAACCTTCCCCCTTTCGATAAATATTGTCATTTCCATCTTGCCAAACGACGTTGAACCCGCTCCACCAACCCATCCCACACCCTTTTTGCCATGAAACTAGCACCCAGCGGCAGTCCCTAGTAAGTCACCGATAGATTTGCCACCTTGCAGCCTAACACCGCCGCTAACACTGGCAACCTCCTAACCTTCCCCACCAGAATCAACTTTGACTCGCTCAAATTAATCTGTAAACCCGAAACTGCCTCGAAACAAATCAGGACACATCGTAAGAATCCCAATTGCTCCACATCCGCATCGCAGAAAACCAAAGCATCATCCGCATACAATATGTGAGACACCCCAATTGCTGTCCTCAGTTGTGAAACCATCATAAAACCCTCCAACAAACCTTCCAACAGAGCCCTGGACAACAATCTACTAGAAGCCTCCATAACTAGAATAAACAACAGGGGAGATAATGGATCCCCCTGCCAAAGACCCCGATAAGTCGAAAAAAACTCGCCGGTGAACCATTTACCAAAATAGACATCTGCACTGTGGAAACACAGAACTTCATCCCCTGACACCAGGTTGCCCCAAAACCCGTTCGACCCAGAATATATAACAGAAATTCCCAACTGACATTATCATAACCCTTCTCAATATCCAGCTTACAGATCAAACCAGGTCGCCCTACCCGGAGACGAGAGTCAACACACTCATTAGCTACCAAAACCGCATCCAAAATATGCCGCCCCCAACAAAAGCATTCTGGGATTTAGACACCACATCCTACAACGCACCTCAAAGTCGATTCGCCAATACTTTTGCTAGCAACTTATACACGCTTCCAAGCAAACTAATAGGCCTGAAGTCTCTCACATCCTCAGCCCCTCCTTTCTTCGGAATTAAGACTAGGAAGGTCGCATTGAAGCTCCTTTCAAGCTGCCCAGTCGTGAAAAAGGCCTCAAACATTGCCATCACATCCTCCTTAACCATAGACCAACACTGCTAGAAGAAAGCCATGATGAAACCATTTGGACCAGGTGCCTTGTCACCACTCCTCACCTTCAAAGCCCCGAACACCTCCTCCTCTGTGAAGGCCCGCTCCAACCCCTCCCTCTCCCCTTCAGAGAGAACATCAAACGGACGCTATCTAACCCCGACCTCCATGCCCCGTCTTGAACCCGAAAAAGCCGCTAATAAAAACCCACAATGGCTCCCCTAATCTCCTCGTTAGTAGTCAAATCTTGCTTATCCACCCGCATTCGCACAATTTGATTGACCTGTCTGTGGCCGTTTGCCATCCTGTGTAAAAAACTTGGTGTTCTGGTCTGCATCCTTCAACCATAAACACCGAGATTTCTATCTGAAACATATCTCTTCCATTCAAGCCAAACGAACATAGTCCTACCTTGCCGCCTCCCTTCTAGCCACATCCGCTTCTAAAAGCCCCTCCAGAAATCTCCTGCATATCCAAGGACTGAAGGATAGCCACCACTTTTGCTTTTTGAGCCTCCACCTGACCAAAAACCTCCTTATTCCACATTTTCAAATCCTGTAATTTTAATTTCCAAGCCAACATACAACTAAGAGTTCCACTAACCATATAGTTACTCCACCACCCACGAACCTTATCTAAAAAGCCCTCCAATTGCAGCCACATATTCTCAAATTGAAAAGGCGTCGGCCCACTCCAAAACCCTCCACTATCAAGCATAATTGGCCAGTGATCTGACACTAGACGGGGAAAATGACTTTGCACTACCTCTGAAAAATGCTCTCCCAACAACTAGTAACCAGAAATCTATCAATCTCGGACATGTGGGTGGCCATTAGTCCAGGTAAAACTCCCCCCATGACTAGGCAAATCAACCAGGTTCATCTCATCAATAAATGAACAGAACGCCCGCATCGATCCCTTCACCCTGCTACTGCTTATCCTCTCTACCGGCCATCTAACCATATTAAAATCGCCCCCTCCACACACCACGGCTCTGACCATTGATGCGCAACATCCTCCAGCTCGCCCAAAAAAACACCTCTTTTGAAATTTCGGACAAGCCTATACACCCCAGAAAACACCCACCTGAAATTGTCTTCCACACACCGAAATAAACAAGACACTAAAAAACCTCCTAGCTCCTCATCCTCCTTCACCACCATTCTCTTATCCCAACAAAGAAGAACCCCTCCTGTCGTACCCACAACTGGTAAGTATGCCCATTCCACAAATCGACCACCCCAAACCTCTCTCACCACATCTCCATCTAGCTCCTCCATTTTTGTTTCTTGCAAGCACATCACATCCGCTCTCGCACTCCGAAACACAAATCTAACTGCGAGTCACTTGTCCCTCTCATTCAAACCACGCATATTCCATGATAACACTTTTAACTTCATTTTAATAACAGAGGACCTCCTTGCTCTCTCCTTGGGCCCCGCTCAACCGTCTTCCCTCCATAGTCATAGTTGACAAAACACTCCAAACTTCTAAGCTCCGGTAGCCCTTTACGTTGCACCACTACTGAAATACCACCCTCCTTCATTGGAGCCCCTTACCTTCATAAGGCTTCCACTGCTGTGAATAAGCGCAGAGCCTCAATTTCGTGACCTTCAAAAGATACACCCAGCAATCGACTGACCTCGCTGATCCGGCTTAGCACCTACTCGGACACAGCTTCTTCCGAAGGAGCCTCCGTTCCACTCAGATCATCCCTATGATTGATCCTCCCTTAAAGTAGAGCGAGAGAGTCCTTGCCAGGGCTAGCGGTGGACAAACTGGCGAGAGGGTTGGCCACAAGAGATAACTCCCTCTCGATGTGCCCAGGAACTGGTTCGTTCCTCTCAACCATTTATGTCACATCATATGCTACATCTTTTTGTACCTAGATCTGTCCCATATCCATATATGTATCAAATGACTGGTCTGAAGCGTCATCATCCTCTGACACGTACCGCGAGACACCTATCTCCGCCTCGCGATCAAGTTCAGACGTCAACGGTACATCCTTCTTGCCTCCCTCTATAAGACTTGAGGTCGAGATCCAACCCACTTGGTTTGGATCCACAGCCAAAAGCAGATTATTAAACACTTGGGCCACTAGGGTAGTTAGCCCTATCGGCCTTCTATACCCTTCACAAGACGGCCCAACTCCATCCCCTATGCCCCATCATCATTTTGGCCCGCCTCGTTTTTTCCTTGTATCTGGGTAAAACCTCCATTCTTAGGCCCTCTAGAAACTGGCCCAATTTCTCTATTGAAATTTCCCGTCACAACCCAAAGAAGGACTAGCCTAGCGTGGTGCCGTAGATTGTTAGGCCCACGACCCATTCCTTTTGGGTTGCCATATCTTCTGTGAACCGACCCATCTCTCTAAAATTTGCAACTTCTTCCCCAAATCACGATGATCGTCTCGCGCTTCAAATCGCACCAAATCACGACTTTCCTTAGCCATCTCACGCTGATTTCGCTGCTCCGACATGCCATAGTTCTCCACTACTGGTCCGTCCTTTGACCAACTTGGCAACGTATACCTCCAATAGCCACATCAAATGGTGATTCTCACCGGAGCACCCCTACCTGAACCACGAACTTTGATTTGAACACAGCCTAGAGGCCCCTCCATCGTCATCGCATCATCAACCCCCAGAAAACCCCCCACATCGATCACTGATCGCACGAAACACCTGCTCTCCACGAAGATAAAACGGGAGTCCCAACACCTGTACCCAGAAACTCCATTTCCGTGATTGATTACTTTCCCTAGCACATAATGCTTCCGACAACCACCAGTCAAGGCTCAAACCTTAACCGTCAACCATCCAGTTCTCGTCCAGAATTCTAATAGCATTTGCCTTGGATGGAAAAGCAAACAACACGTATTGTCCTCCAATTGCCGTCACCTGCACACCTCCACTAACCTTCCACATTCGCTATACCCACGCCGATAGATACGATAGCTCGATCCCCTTCTTCCCCAGTTCCCCCACTCTCCCCACCAAACACGACTCTAAAAAGGAGACCCAATCAGCACCAGACCCCTGTCGTACCACCACATCATCCCCCCCAACCCCTGGGACGATCATCGCCTTTCTAATCGGCCATTGGTTACCTTTCACCCCTTGTCATTCCTCCCCTTTATTGATCCAGCCATTCCCCACCGAAAACCCATCCAAGACCAGAGCAGCGCCTTCCCAACCATCCCCGAACAATGATTGTGGAAGGCAAATTTGACTACGACGCTCGCCCTTGTGAACCACAATCAGAATGGCAGCCCCCACCTCCTCTGGTCGAAGCCAACACCCCATACTTTGCCGCCCCCCAAAGACTTAACCCATGAACACCCCAACAGTGTTTAACTTGGATGCCTTTCGCATTTGGTCCGCTACCCATTTTATCTCTGCACCAAACAACTCAATAGCTCTACGAATCCCTTGGCCACGTTCAACGATATCTACTCGTCGCCAACTTATCGCATTTGCTAGCCCTTCTTCAAACTCAAAAGAGCAGTCACCTAAGACAATCAGTCTCCAACGAAACCCCTCCGACTCCGCTAAAAACATGCCTTCCGAAAAATTCACTCCTTGTAGTTAGTTTATGCCCCCAGTGGTCTGAACATGTCATGGATCAATGTTTAGGTAAATGGTGAATTTCCCTCAAAGTCAAATTACATGATAGTGTCGGCAGTAATTGGAAGCCTGACAAAATGTAATGGTGTTAATGCAGGTGGCCGGCAGAGAGAGAGAGAGAGAGAAGGGGTTCTTGCAAAGTTAGAATAAGCATAGGAGGGAGGGGGAGGATGATGTACAATGTTATTACCCTCTTCAAAATCATATATAAGTTGCGGAATGGGAGCAGAGGATGTTTACAATTCGAAAAATGGAAGCATAGCTAAGCTATTTCAAAAGTGCAGTAGTACAGAAAAATCATTTCATAAATATAGGCACAGATGCAGTATGAGATGCATAAGAGAACTTACATGTCTTTCTTCTTGTTCCCTCAGAGTTTGAACGTCCCGCTGATTTTTTTCAGCCAGTGCTTTAGCCTGAACAAACAGACTCAACAATTAAAAACTGGCAAGCTAAACTGCATGTACCAAAAAACAGCAATAAAAGACTATACCATCACCCTAAGGCACATCAACCATTCCTCAATTCAGCAAATAGAAGGCCATGGCTATTGCCAAAGCAGCTATGGACATTACTAAAGCAATGCACAATAAACTAGAATGTACAACTAATCATGCTTTGGCAATAGTCACAACCAAATTAGATATATCTTGAAGCAGCGAACACATACCGCACGCTCCTGGGTCCTTTGGTGGCGTTCCAATCTAGCTCTTCTTCTTTCTTCAGTTTCTCCTTCAACTTCCTGGAATGCTCCAGAGGATGGAACAGCTTTTGGAAGCAAAAGTACTTCAGCAAATTAGCAAAATGAAAGAGAAAAGGGAGAAGAGGAAACCCAGTAAAAAAAGGGTTATAATTCCAATCAATAATACCTCCAAAAATTGATGTGAGATCATCAACAATATTAGTAGTCGAAGATGCTTTCCTCATGTTGGAGGAGGTACTAACAGATGTCCTTCTTGTCCCTTCAGGTCCTCCCTTACTCTGGACTTGGGGATCCAACACAGAGTCCTGAAATTGTGGATAGAACAGACAATCAAACACACACAATGAACATACAGCCTTCACACTGGGATAAATTGAAAAAAATAATAAATTAAATTAAATTTTAAGGGGAAAAAAAAAAAAAAAAAAAACTTCAAATTGTATTACTGCAGATGTTGCAGCTTCAAGTACTCACAGAAGTATTTGCCCTTGGCCTTGGTGCACTGCTTGGTCGAGAACCCATGCTGAAAAAGGATTCAAGATCATTATCATTCTTTTGTTGGTTCATCCTTGCAGCAGCAGCCCTTTCCCGAGCTTCAGCAGCGGCCCTTTCACGAGCCTCTGCAGCAGCCCTTTCTACAGCAGCCCGTTCTGCTCTACATCGTGCTTCAGCGTCAGTTTTACTAGCAGTAGCAGCTTTCTCCCTTGCTTCTGAATTCGCCCTTTCCCTAGCTTCTGCAGCAGCCTTTTCTGCTCTTTCTCTTGCCTCCGCTGCTGCCCTTTCACGGGCTTCAGCTTGTGCTTTCTGAACAGCAAACCTTTCAGCTTTTAGGCGTAATTCAGCAGCTGCTCTTTCACGTGCCTCAGCAGCTGCTCTTTCACGTGCTTCCCTAGTTGCTCTTTCCACAGCTTGTCTGGCCCTTTCCCTTTCCCTTTCATTCTCCCTTGCTCTCTCCCTCTCCCTCTCAAGTCTCCTCCGCTCTCTCTCTTCCTCCTCCCTTTGTCGCCGTTCACGATCTAGTCTCTCCTGGTTTTCCTGGTATTCCTTCTCCTGATCATCTTGCATAGACTGTTCGTCATTTTCCAGTTGCACAGCTTCTTTACTTCTAGCAGTCTTTGCATGCTCTCTTCCCCTTACTTCCTTTGCATGCCTAAATTTAGCCTCAGCCCTATCCATTGCTTCCTTCATGGCAGCTGCAGATGCAGCAGCAGCAGAGGAGTTTGTGTTCACATCTTCACCAGAATGAATATCAGTATACTCGTGAACATTATTTTTGGTCCTACCCATAGCAAAATCCTCAAGTTCATCTATTTGAGACACCGTTGTGATCTTCACAGGTGGACGACTTAGCTTAGGACTTTGAGAGTATTGAGTGGAAGTTGGGGAAGAGTAAACCCCATTACCCTTCTTTCTTGCATTTGAAGTGAAAAAACCTGCTTCCGACTTTGAAGCCCTCGCTGGTATTGGCGGAGGGGGTCTTGAAGGTGGTGGAGCACTTGTGGGTTGTGTAGAAAGAGGAATCTCTGATACAGTGAGCCATACATCATCAGATGGTTCCGCATGTTTCTCTGATCCTGGAGAAACATCTACCTGGGAATTTATCTCACCAGAATTAGCATTTACATAAGACGGGGAAGTAGTTCGACCGACGGACTTGTGAGAATCTGTTGGAAAACTTGGCATGTCAAAAAAAGTTTGATGAGGTTCCTGAAAATTGTCAGTAGTCATCTTCTTTGAGTGACTCTCAGAATTCCTGAAAGAAGATCTTCCCATTGGTTCAGTAGCAGCAGATGTTTGTGCTCTACCCATGCTTGATCCTGACCTTGAAGGGCTCCCATCCTTCACCTTGTTATTTATCTCAGATGAAAAAGCAGGAGCAGATTTGCCAAAACCATCAAGGGGATCTATATCATCAAATACTGCCCCACTAACTGATGAACCACTAACTTTTGTGTTTCCAGAGTTACCGAGTTTACCAATCTCTTCAAGTGGATCAGTGAACATCCCCGGGGATGAAGTTTCAGGGGTTGAAGTTGATTCTAAAACAACAAAGGGGTCTTCCATCACATCAGAAGTTGGTTTGGTTGAATTAACACTTGTTTTTTGCGGCCGACTATACTCTGATTTTGGCCTGTGAAAGAAATATGGAGCTGAGATACGAATCAACAGATATCAAAAGATTCATTCCTGTGATGATTAGCAATCCAAGTTGTCAACATATCATTGAATTTGAGAATTTTGCCGAACTTCCTGGATACAATTGTTGTCTTAACATGTCAAAAATTTCTTCTTATAACAATGCAAAGTTTTTCTGAACTTTAAAGATTTTAAATTTCAAGCGTAATCATGTCTTTACTTTTAAAGTTTGAGTGCAATCATGTCTTTCCCATGTATGGAAAAGTTTCCGAGGAAGGTGCCAGCCATACTGGCCAGTATATCTAGTAGTTGTATTGACTGGATAAAATCCTATCAGAACTTGCCCTCATCCACATTAGGGCAGTTTTGCACCTCATTTGCCAATTTGACACAACGGAAGGGGTAAAAAATATCGTGATCATTCCTCACTTCCCCACAAACCTAGATCTATGAAACATGGGTACTTCAACAAACATGCCCTACCCATATCGGGTATTAAAACTTTGCATGGTATTTCAACATACGTACCAGGTACACAAAACACATATCTAATTTATTTTTCTTAATTTTTGTTGTACCCCAGAGGTATCTAGTATATACCCGAACTGTAATTTAGCTGAAATAATATTTTCTTCTATACAGTGATAAAGTTAATTTCATTGGACTTCTTTTTCTTCTTTTTTTTTTAATGCTTAGCAAGATTTTAAAATTAAACTTTGATTTGTATGTTATTTAACAAAATGACATATCTAATCATTTTGAAATAATATTTAACAAAATGGCATATCTAATTTGTATAGTTATGATCCAACATACGTACCGGCTACACAAAACACATATCTAAATTTTCTTCTTAATTTTTATTGTATGCTAGAGGTATCTAGTATATACCCAAACTGTAATTTAGCTGAAATAATATTTTCTTCTATACAGTGATGAAATTAATTTCATTGGACTTCTTTTCTTCTTCTTTTTTAATGCTTAGCATGATTTTAATATGTTATTTAACAAAATGACATTTAATTTTGGTTAATACCTTACTTTTGACATTAAATGTGAATTGTATATTGGATTTTAACTAATTTTTGCATTACTCCAAATTGAAAATAAATATTTTTATGAACTTACCCAACTATTCCTGTACCTTTCTTTTTACAATCTTGCTGCATCAATGTACCTGTATCATACTAGTACCAGTACCTATACCTGTACACATGCTTCATAGACCTAGATCACCCACATGGCTCCTACTTTCCCAAACTCCCCCATTTAGGGGCTGTTTGGGATGATCTAAATAAGTGCACTTTTTGACTTTTTATGAAATATGAGTTGGGTTTGAAGTGATGTGTTAGAGAGGTGATGTGACTTAGATCAGATGATATGACTTAAATAGGATAGTGACTTTTTGACTTTTTTCAAACATGCCAAACTAGCCCTTAATGAAATCTAGACAGTTGGCATATTACTCTCAGCAATTCAAATAGTCATGGACTCGTGGTATATACCACGAACAAAAAAAAGAATTTTAATACCCATATAATAGTTGTTACATTAATAAGGATAAAAGAATTTCACACAGATCGTTTTATTATCAAAATGCTAACATCTAGAAGCCAGTTATGAGCGCACACCACATTATTCGTGTGTTTATATATGTACTAGTATTGCACCCATGCTATACACGGCTAAATGGTTTTACATTTATTGAATCAATCTATTTCCATTTTAATAAAATAAATAAAAGGTTTATGAAACACTACTATATGGACACACCAACCCAACACAACAATTTTCAAAATGCACAATATGACAAGTGACGGACACGCACAAATTCTTTATATTTATTATATGCATATATAAAAATATATCATTTAAAAATAATAATAATTGGAACACAATACTAATTTTTATAAATCTATATCATTTTTCTTTTATCTTTGTACCCAAAGTTATTTTGTTCAAACTTATAATTATGTTCACGAGGCGTCAAAGTGATGGACATGGGTATCTCCCAAGTGTCCGAAGAGTCTTAAAATATTAAAAAATAATAATAATAATAAGACACGTTTAGGCGAGTGTCCTACAAGTGTCATTGTCCAACACGAACATGGCACGGATATGCTAACTTCTAAAAAGTCTCCATGCTTCATAGATGAAACATATTCAACATATTAGCAAATTGTCAACAAATAGAAATACTTTAAATACTACTAAGACAATGTGTTCAAAAACTACTTTTGTCGTGAAGGGGCCAAGTTTTGGCAACTATATAGAAGGGAGGATTAAGAAATTCAACTATAGCTATGCTAATCAATACAAGTAATATTCAATTATTTTTTATCAACCTTAATAATCCTACACCAGTCCACTTTTTGAGTATTATATTAATCACTGTGCCAGTTGTGGAGTAAAGATTGGAAAACTCATGTAAAAATTCTAGTTGGATCTATAAATGAAGGAAAATGGTAACATCACATGTGATTTTAGTAGTGCCATATTAAAATAGGAAAAGGAATAAAAGACTATAATACTCATCAAAGAACAAATAGCGTGGCTATCAAAATACTCTTGTAAGAGTAAATATTGTGGTACAAATAAATTTATGCACAATTAACACCGCCCTTAATGAATGAAAAAAAAATTATTTATTTATTGATAAGAAAGAAAGAAATAGTTGATATCAATTATTCCCGTTTAAATTCAACATCAACATTTTTTTTCTCCTTGCACAATGCAACAAAATTCACTCATTCATCTCATGACAATGAATGTATTAAGCAAATACATGAGATAAATATAATTTTTTATTAAAAATGTATGAGAATGCAACAAATGCATTCGATATTAAATACAAGACATGATTAATATTGTTATTTTTTAACATAATATCTCATTAGAAAGGTAATGTTACCAATCATTATGAAAAATCAAATTGTAAAATTTAAAAAAGTCTTTTCAATAACATATAAAATGAATATTTGGTAGTCTCCTTTATTTATCAAAAAAATATATATATATTTGGTAGTCTCCTATTTATTTAGGGTGACCACACTGTCGGGATATATCTAACTTTTGCCATGCAAGTTATTGTGAATGAAAAAAAATAAAAATAAATCTTATGTTGTTTATCCAGGAATATTAGCTAAGGAGAACAAGGCCACCCTTTATTTATATTATCATGATAAATTAATTTAAGGCAATTTTCACTTTACCCCTTTGACATTGGCTCGTACACAGATGACCCCTTGTGTCATTTGAAAATAAGCAACAACCCCTTGTAATTTTTGGACCAAAGCACACAATTGATTTTTCCTTCCAAATTAACAGATTGTTTTCAGTCCCGCGCCTATGTGGAGGGTAAACTATTTTTTAAGACAAAACTACTTCAAATCCATATCCAAATTTACAAAAAAAAAAATTCCATTGCCCCAAGCCAACTTCCACACAGCGCCACACCCACTTTGGTTCATTGGTTGAAGGACACCAAGAATTGTTCGCTGCACACCCCACCACACCCACCCCGCCCATGTCCTTTTGTTATCCAAATTCTTTTTCTTATTTTTGCTTATTATTTAATTACTGATTGGTTTGGCTAGTTTCTTTTTGTAGCTTGTTAGTTTCATATTAAGGCATGTGTTTCCTTAAGCTGCTTTCTGAAAAATGATCTAAAAGGCATGCTTATAACCTTAGAGAATGCCTGTATTACAACTAAATTATGCCCTTTAGCTCAAAGTACATAACTTAGCAAAAAACAGAAAGCACACTAACCTAAAAAAATACTGCCTAATAATTATCTAATGCCAAGCATTTCATACACTAAAAAACCCTACATTTTGATATGTTATTCAAGCATAATAAAGCAAGGAAATTGCAGTAAGCAAACAAAGTACCTGCTGCTAATGCTATGACTGCCATCACCAAAAGCAGACATCAGATCGTCAAAACCTCTCGAGCTCTTACTGTTCTTCGGTTCCGGCTTATCAGTCCGCCCTAAATTCCCAAGAAGATCGTCAAATGCAGCACTCTGATTCTGATTCTGATTCTGATTCTGATACGGAGGCGAAGAAGTGCTCGTGAACACATGATCATCAAACCTAACTTTAGCAGACATCGATTTACTCTTAACCCCAGGCAAGCCATCGAAAATGTCTTCATCATAAACAGGCTTATCGTACACCGGCGAAGACGACCTGTTCTTCAAATCATTCGCGGAGGTCGAAGAGCTCTTGAAGATCGAACCGTAATCGAAATCTGACAACGACGAAGCCGATTTAGCGTTGTTGGCACTCGAATATTTCGGAGGTCCACCGAACACATCGTTGAATGGAGACGACGATTGAGTCCGGCGATCTACGCCGTCCGATCCGCCGCCGACGTTGGATTTTGATGGAGCCATGGGAACCGATTTGCCTTGGGGTCTGAACCCAAAATCTCTGGCCAACATACCAAAATCATCCATGAATTTACCTTCCTATATTTTCAAATTGATGTGGAACAGAGTCAGATCTGGCGAAATTGCCCTCTGTGGAAGGGCAATTGATGATCGGAGAGAGGGTAAAGAAGAACACAGACCACGTTGTTTAGGGTTTTGAATGATGAGAATGATTGGGGATGTGAAAAGGGAGAAGAAGACAAAATTGAGGAATTCAGTGAAGTTGAGGCCTTCGAATTTAGATACACGTAGGTGTATATATATCGATGTGATATGATTGAGCATAGAAATGTGAGAAATGAGAGAACCTAGGACGTTTGGCTGTGCTGCTGCATCTCTCTCTCTCTCTCTCCCTTTTCTTTTCCACTTTCTTTTTTCTCTGTCTTGTTCTTGTTCTTCTCCGCCTGTCGCTCTTTCTCAGCTCTACCTTCTTTCTTCTTCTTCTTCTTTTCCCTTTATTTTTTAAAATTTTAATTTTGATTCGTGAAGGATCCATGTTATTTTGATTTATTTTTACATTTTTTTATATAATTATCAATTACTTAATTGTAAGTAAATTTTTTAAATAAATTATAAAAACACTCTTTGATAAATTATGTCATATCAAGTTTTTATTTGCATAATAAATTATTTATTTTATTAATAAATTATTAATTCAATTAACAATTAATAATTAAGATGATTTTATTTTTGAATAGAAAACTAGCTATAAATTTCATCTTTCCTGTTAATTCTGTTGAATTAAAATTTTGATAAGGGGTATTTGTAATTTTCATAACTGCATAGACCAATTTATATTTTAAACAAATTTTAGAAAATGTATTTATAATTTATCTAAATCTTTATTAATATGTGCATTTAATATACATGTTGAAATATTTTTTTAAAAAAATATAAATTTTGTACCCACATGCATATAATAAGAAACTTTTTTTTTTAAGTTTTCATATCATATTTAGAAAATAAAAAGAAAAATATGTGAAATATGAATAAAATATAATTATATATATATATTTATTTTTTTAAAAAAAAAATTACAAAAATTCATGATCAAAACATAATGTAAAAGGCACGAGTTAATAAAACTTGAACTTGACCATATGCTTTTAACCTCCAATAAGAAATAACAAATTGAGTTATTTTAGTTGGTTAACAGTTATGATTTACGTATGAAAAGTTATGAATTCGAATCTTATAAGGAGAATGTATGGTTAAAGTTTTTTTTCTCTTATTTTTGGGCTTAATAATTACCACATATATGTGTTGGGACTATATATACTTGAGAGATTAGTTTGACGAAATCCGAACACTCCTGTAAAAAAAAAATTGATTTAAATGGATAAAGAATTATAGATTTAATAACAACAAGGACAATAGATTAAGGGCATGGAACAATTTGAAAATTATAATAAGGTTAGCTTTTAAAAGAATGGAAAATAGTTTATAATTTTGGTTGAAAAAACATATTATGCATATGAGTATATAGATAGTTACTAGATAAAAATTGGCATTTTCCATCTAAAAGAATATTAGAAAGAATATATATAGTTGATGGTCCAATGATTGATGTTGTATAAGTTAATAAATTTATTTGAAGAATAAATGGTTCCATGATGAATTCAATGGAAAAAAATAAATAATTAAAGTGAAGGAAATCATTTTTCTTTCTTGATCAAGGGTATGATATGAAAAAAAACAAGAACATTTAAATTTTGAATTTTTCTTTCTTGGTCGAATCGATGTGTAATTTTCGACCCTGGTTTATCGAACGGTGGGTGTTCGCGATGGTGGGTCACCGCTGCGATGGTGATAGTAACAGGGACGAGGGGTGGTCGGCAGAGAGGTTGGATGGGTGTGTAGGTTGCGATGGTGGGTGGAGGAAGCGCCGACTGCGAGGACAGCCATGGTGCCGCCGACAGTGGCTGGTTTAGGGTTAGGGTTTGGAGAATGAAAAAAGTAAGGGAAGGTGGGTGGATTGAGTGTGTTGGAAAGTTGTGTGTATGGTAATAGTATGTGTAATGAGTAAATATATATATATATATATATATATATATATTTTTTGGTGTGTGAATTAAGAATGATGTTTAAAGAGAAAATGTTGTGTGTGCAAATAGAAGCTCCTAAAATTACTTTGTCTATAAAGACATATTTTCATGCAATGACTAAATTACCCAGCATATATATTGTTTCCATATCAAACCCTCTCAAACCAACGCCTCTCTCTCTTGAGTCCGGATCCTCTGTCGCGTTCCCCTACAACAATTCCTGCGGTGCCTCAAAACGATGTTGTTTTGGGAAAAAAAAATTCAAAAAAAAAAACAAAAACGAAAACACATAATCAAAAGAGAGAGAGAGGAAGAAGAAAGAAGCAAAGAGAAAGAGAGAGAGAAGAAGAAGAAGAAGAAGAAGAAGAAGAAGAAGAAAGAAAGCACCACCACAGGCGACAACCTTTGGTCTCCCTTTACCCACGACACCACCATCTCCCGCCATCACCGCCACAACCCACTTTTCCTTCATGTTCTTCTTTTTCTTTTTCTTTTTCCTTTCTCTCACTAAAACTGCCAACCCAGCAACCATCTCGATCTTTTCTCATTTTTTCTTTACTGCCGGTGTACCGAAGGTAGTTCGTTGGTCATCCTCGTTGTCGTTCCCCCCCGGTCGTCCGTTGCCGATCGTTCGTCGTTCACCGAATTGTTGTGTCAGATCTGTTGATACTGATTAAGTTCTTAATTCGAAGTAGTTTTTTGGGTTTTTTTTACTGGATCTGTATATAAGATATGAATTATTCTCATACACTTTGCTGGATCTAATGTTTGACTATTTGTATTGATCTAATTTTTATTAATTTTGATTTATCATATGGGATGTTCAAGTGTTATTCTGTATATATATATACATCTCACATTTTTGAACCTCAGTTTTTTTTTTTTTGAATGGTTATTGGTGTTCTAGGTGTTTAAAAGATCACAAATATTGTTATTATTAGTGTTATTTTGGGTGTCTGCGGTGCTTTTTTTTTCATCCTCTTTTTCTCTTCTCTGGTTCTTTTTTTTTTTTTGAAATTTTGCCCCAAAATGATGGGGCACCGCATGAACCACTGCAGGGGAGTGCGGTAAAGGATCCAGACTCCTTTATCTCTCTTTCAGATTCTTTTTTTTCTCTCCCTTTGCGCAACTCTCTTCCCTCATTCACCGTCACTCCGCCACCGCTTCTGTCACTTTACCTCTCCACCACCTCCGTCATTATCTCTGACCGTTGATCTGAGTTCAGCTACCACGACTCTACCGCTACCGCTGCCCCTCTCGCTCTTATCTGCATACTGTGTCGTGGCGGTGGTGGCGAAATCTTTATCTTCTTTCTCTACTTGTCGTCGCCAGCTCCGACACCTCCGCCGGAGCCACCATCACAGACCAACTACGACTCAAATTGGGTATATATATCCTTTTGTCTGTCTCTCTCTATCTATATACAAATATATGTATAGCGTTGACGACGGTAATGATGTCTAGTTTGTCGTCGGCGAGGTTTCACCGGTGCAAAATCTCCACGAAATCTGAGTGAGACTAGTGAAGATTTGATGCTGTCTTGCAAATCTGAGGCTCTCTTGTAACTGAAACACTGACGCCCATCCTTGTCACCGTTGTGAGTGTGGTTTCACCTTCACTCATCGCCAACTACAATGCCTCATTCGCGGCTTTCGTCTTTGAATCTACGCTGAAGATTTGAAGATTTGTTTGTATAAATACATATAATATTTACATATCCAATATAATCAATCCAGTTCAAACTTTCATCGTCGATGGTGGTAATTTGTTGTAGCGTTGCGACTCTTTCTCTTACTTCTCTCTCTCGTTTTGGTCATTGGTGAGATGGCGGTGCATTGAAAACCTATTTCTGTTTTCATCACCAGCTTCTGTATGATACCATCTGTAAAATAAGTTGAGAGAGTGATATTGAAAGAGTAACTCTGTTATTCAATCTATATTCAGAAACCAAATAGAGGCTCCATTATATAGGAGCTGTGTTACAAAACATCATTATGGTACAATTTAATATAATAATGAAAAGGAGGCGGAAAGAAGACGGGTGACCAAAAGCAGGGACAAATAAAAGGAATCCTATCTAGCTAGCTGTATGCCAATTGTATTATACACACTATAATATATTAACATATTATATTAACATATTATATTATATTAACAGCCTCCCTTAAACTTAAGAAGGACAAACATCAACCAACTAGAGTTTGGAGACAAGGTCAACGAAGCCAGGAGAATGGGCTTTGGTGAAGATATCAGCAGATTGATCAGCAAAGGAGATTGGATGGAGATGGACAGTACCACGAGTGACGTGTTAACGAATAAAATGGCAGTCAATCTCAATGTGCTTTGTGCGATCATGAAAAACATCATTGTGAGCAATTTGAAGAGCACTTTGATTGTCATAAAAGAGGGCAGTAGCGCTAGAAGGGGAAACACCCATGTCAGCAAGAAGCCAACAAAGCTAGAGAAGCTTCTGAGTAGTATCAGCAAGAGCACGATATTCGGCCTCGGTACTGGAGCGAGCAGTAAGAGATTATTTCTTGCTGCGCCAAGAAATAAAAGAATCACCCAAGAAAAAGCAGAACCCGATAGTAGAGCAGCGGTCAGTAGGATCCCCAACCCAATCAGCATCGGAAAAAGCAAGAGGCTGGAGAGAGGAGCGGATGGAATAATGAAGTCCATGAAAACAAGGTACCTTTGAGATAACGAAGGATACAAACTAATGTAGCATAATGAGGGGTACGAGGAGCTGACATAAATTGGCTGACAATATGAATGACATAGGCAATATCAGGACGAGTAACAGTGAGATAGACAAGGCTGCCAACCAGCTGACGATATAAGGTAGCATCAGAGAGAAGAGTGCCATCAAGAGGTGTAAGACGACTCTGAGGCTCCAGGGGAGTGGAGGCAGTCTTGCAATCCGTAAGACCAGCGCGGGTGAGAAGATCAGAGGTATACTTAGCTTGAGAGAGAAAAGACCCCGTGGAATCATGGAAGATTTCAAGACCCAAGAAATAGCTAAGAGGACCAAGGTCTTTCATCTCGAAATGATGGCTAAGAAACTGTTTAAGGCAAAGAATACCATCAATATCATCACTGGTGATAATCATATCATCCACATAAAGGAGAAGCAAGGTGGTCCCTTGAGCAGTTTTTCGGATAAAAAGAGTAGTATCATAAGAACTGGAGGTGAAACCACAGTCACGAATAGTAGAGCTAAACTTGGCAAACCAAGCGCGCGGAACTTGTTTGAGACCATATAAAGCACGCTGAAGTTTGCAGACTTTATGAAGTAGATAAGCAGAACCAGAGGGAGGTTGCTTGTAGACCTCCTCAAGAAGAACACCATTAAGGAAAACATTTTTCACGTCCATTTGATAAAGATCCCATTGTCGGGTGGTAGTAA